GAAATCATGGATTAAAACCGAACCAAACCATAAATAATGGTTTGGTTAGGTTGTTCTAAAAAATAAAATGGTTTGTTTACCACATGAAATGGTTTGAGTTGAAAATATAACACAAACTGCCCAAACCAAACCGTGTTTACCCCTAATTTGACCATAATCTATTACGTTATGGTGTGGTCGTCTTCAAGAAAGGGTACACAACGTAATGTTTCATTGAATATTTTAAAGCCAAAGTTTTGTTCAAGCCTCTAAGATTTCAAAAATAAATTGGTGCTTAATTTACAATTCAATCTTTAGATTGAGCTACTAGATGTGAAATTAAGAATGAGGGTCCTTAATCTTAGTGGTGGTTATAGCCCAGCATAATAGGGAAGTGGTGATGAAGTCAAGACTAGTATGTTTGATTCCACTTCATCAAGAAGTCAAAAGAAGAATGAACAAAAAGGGAGTTGTCCTTAGTTCTTTTGATTGTTCTTTTGTTAGTTTTGTGACATTACAAAATCAGATACTATTGTATTTTTTCATCAAATTATTAGTGGATTGTTTGACTCATGGCATAGCGGTCGTGGATGTTTTCCTTTCAAGGCTTACTGCAATATATTTGGTGTTTGTGCTCTACGTTGTTAGGTAAATTCCACATTCATTTAAGCTGTAGTCATAAACACAACAACAACCTACATATACCAGTCGAACTATTAGAAGCTAATCATAAGACGTTCAGACTACTATTTTTCAAAGTTATAAAAGTTGAATTAAATTAATTTTTAATTTGTCTAAGTTTTAGAATTTACATTAGATATCAAAGTGGTTGCACTTTTCAAAAGTGTGATCCAGGAAAAACCTAGATATGGATGGACATATGACGAGAATCACCAAATAAGTCAAGCAGTCCTTGAAGAACAATAGAAAATGAAGGTATGACAAATTTCAAACTCAACAAAAGAAGATATTCTCTAGGTAAATTCCATCTACGTATAATATCATAAGTGTGGGGATATGGACATACAGCATCTGAATGTGCTAATATAGTGAAAACATCTCGTGTTAAGGAAGTCATGAACATCACGTGTAGTGAAGGTAATGAAAGAGAATCGAATTCGGACAAGGAAAATAGAACTGATGATTAAAATGTAACTTCTTTTACTATCAATCTATAGTCTGGTTTCGACTCATTGCAAGTGATAGCTGCAGGTTCAAACTCATGGGTTAAAGAAACAATAGGTTCAAGTTGTTTATGTTCAAAATGTCATCCTAAAAGAAAATTCGAAAACTGAATAAGAAATGAACACTCTTAATGTAATGATGGAGTTCATTGAAAAAAGAAAATAGTGCAGTTAACACTGAAAAAGAAACCCTAACCAAACTTTTAAAGTTGAAGGTAAATCAAGTCATGGAGCTTCTTAATCAATTAAATCACACCAAGGAAGGGTTTATGCAACTAACAATTGGATCCACTCACTTGAGTGAAGTCCTAAGCCATAGGAGAACATCGAGCATCAAAGAGAACTTAGACTATAACGGAAAAAGGGAGGAAATTGAATCTAATTAGGTAAAGTACATCAGAGATACCTATTGGGGCAGCTTGATAGGCCTGACTTTGATAGAATATCGCGATCTGCAATCTTGGAGTCAGATAGAACTACAGAATTACAGTCATAGCAACATCAGACTTACACAAGCAGGTTCTAACCAACCCTAGAACTTCGATTCAGAATAATTTATCTAGGTAAATAGCCAACATATCACTCCAGAAATTAAAAGGAAAAACTTAATATTCTATTAGATATATTTTTCGTAATAAATTTGGAAATGATTTATTTCATTGTTTATTTTACAAGAACTTAGCAGGTGGGCATAAAAAATAACAGAGTACAAAAAAAAAATATAACTTACTTACAAGTTCTTTATATTAATATTAGTTAATACATTTTACGTGTTATGAAAAGAGGGAAAAAGAGAAGAGGGAATAAAAGCCTATAGACTTGTGTGTATTTTATTAAAAATAACATATCTGTATTTATAGGGAAGAATCGGGAATACAATAATAATAATAATAATAATAATAATAATAATAATAATAATAATAATTTTTAAAGCTGCAGGGGTATAATTATCATTCACTAATAAACTTACCATTTACAACACTCCCCTTGAATGACACATTACAAAATGTTTACCTTGTTAAAACTTTGTTTGATAAAAATCCAACGGGACAAAAAAATTAAACGAAGGAAAAAGAGTACATTTATTTTGGAATATTAAAAATAAATACTGCATCATTAAAACATTGCTTAAAAATTCAGTGGAATAAAACCTTAACGAAGGAAAAAAAAAAAGTGTAGTTACTCCTCCTAATGTTGGTCATTGAAAATCTTTGAGTCGACGCATTCCAATCTCTTGAACTAATTTCTCGTAGATGTCGGTAATGCTTTTGTGAATAAATCTACCACATTATCACTTGAACGAATTTGTTGGACATCTATGTCACAATTTTTCTGAAGCTTAAGTGCACGAAATTTTTTGGAGAAATATAATTCGTTCTGTCACCTTTGATATAGCCTCCTTTGAGTTGTACAATACAAATTGCATTGTCTTCATACAAAGTTGTTGGACTATCTTTTGTTAAAGTTAACTCACATGATGCTTGGCTATGATGGGACATGTTTCTAACCATACTCATTCTTTGCCTACTTCATAGATTGCAATAATTTCAAAGTGATTTGAGGATGTTGCTATCAAGAATTGCTTCATAAATCTCCAATATATAAATATTACTCTATATGCAAACACATATCATATTTGTGATTTAGCTTTATGTGGGTCAGAGAGATAACCCGAATTTGCATATCCTATTAAAGGGGATCTTTACTTTTGAGAATAAAATAATTCCAAATAAATAGTACCCTTTAGGTAACGAAAATTATGTTTTAACACCATTTCAATATTTTTGAGCTGGTGTAATGCTATATTTTGTGAGGAGATTTATAGGAAAATGCTTTGTCAGCTCGAGTGCAATTTGTAAAATAAATTAACATTGCAATTGCGGTAAGATGTGGTATTTCAGAACCAAGAACCTTTTCTCCATTTTCAAGTGGACGAAATGGATCACATCAAGTGATGGAACAACCATAAGTGATGCCAATAGATGTGGATTATCCATATAAAATTATTTTAAGACTTTCTGTATATGTAAATTTATGAACAAATAATCCTTCTGGAAAAATGTTCAATTTGTAACCCGAAATAGAATTTGATTGTTCCAAATCTTTTATTTGAAATTCATTTTTCAATTAATCTGCAATATTATTGAGCTCTTTACGAGTTCCAATTAAATTTAAATTATCAACATAAATTGTCACAATTGCAAATTCAATATTTGTTTTCTTTATAAAAACACATAGGCAAATATCGTTATTTTTATATCCTTCCTTTGCCATGTATATATATAGTCTTTGAGAGGAACCTTGAGCTACGAGTCGAGCTTTGTATCATGTAAGTTTATTATTTTCATTTCCCTTTCATACAAAAACTCAATTATATCTTATAGAGATTACATTTTTTTGGTGTTTGAACTACAGGTCCAAATACTTTTCATTTTTCTAAGGAATTCAATTCCCCATATATAACATATTTTCATTTTGGTCAATCATTTCTATTTTGACAGTCTTTAACTGATCGTGGTTCATGATCCTCATTTTGCATAATATCAAAAGTCATGTTAAAGAAGAAAATATTGTTTATGATAACATTATTTTGTTACCATAATTTATGAAATAACATATAATTTATTGAAATCTCATTATTTTCCGACATTTGTAATTTTTCAAGAACTATATTTTCAAATTTTGATTGATCAATCTTGTCTAATGTTGCTTTTCTAAAACTTTTGGTTGGTTTTTCTCTTGTACTTTTCTTTTTAAGGTACAGAATCTTTTGAACTAACTGGTCAATCACGCTTCTAACTTATTTGGAATTCATTTGTTACAGTAGATTGTCCTTTCTAGGACATCAATTTTTGCTAAAATATTTCTATTGAAATATATGGCTTTGTCAATTTTCTAGTGGCGACAAATTTATCAAGTAATTGATCTACAACCTTTTGCAGATAAATTATTTTTTCAACCTCTTACTCACATTAATTGTTGTGGGGATCAAAATGAAATGGAGTCATTTCATTCCAATAAATTTTACTTTGTTTTTCATGATGAGGTTTTCATCTCCTAAAGTTGGGAAAATCATTTTATCAAAATGATAATCTACAAAGTGTGCAATAAATAAATCACCCGTTAAAAGTTCAAGATACATAATAATAGATGGTAAATCAAAATCAACATAAATCCTAAGTCTTCATTGGTGATCTATTTCAGTATGCAGGGGTGAAATAGGGACTTAGACAGCACAATCAAAGATTGTATATAAGAAATATCAAGTTTATGACCAAATGCAAGTTGCAAAGGTGAATATTGATAATAGACAGTTGGTCTTATACGAACCTATAATGCATCATATAATATGGCATGACCAAATATAGAAGTTGGGAGCATTATTTTCATAAGTAATAGTCTAGCAATAAATTGTAGATGTTTGATAAACGACATCGCTAAATCATTTTGTGTATGAACATGATCAATCGAATGTTCAATTAAAATCATAATTGACATACATTAATCATCGAATGATTGTGATCTAAATTCATCAGTACTGTCACGACAAATAGTCATGATTGAGTAATCAAGGAATTGCGCTCGTAATTTTATGATTTGAGCAAGTAGTCTAGAAAATGCTACAATCCTAATGGAAAGTAGGCAAACATGTGACCATCTAGTAGAAGAATCAATTAGTACCATAAATAAAAAATGATCCACATGGTGGTATATTGGCTCACATATATCTTGATGAATTCTTTAAGATTCAATATTGATATTTGTTGTAACACCCCAAATTTTATAAATGTCGGAACGTTACGAAAGACTCACTTTTCTTTATTTTAAGTGTGGAACTATATAAATAAAATTCTTTAATAAACAGATAAGTGAACCCTTCACAAATTTAACTTAAAACATGATAATTGTATCTTTAAAATAAACATACTCAACTAACTAATTCAATAACATTTATATTCTTCCAAAACAAATCAAACTAATTAAATTAAAAGACAGAAAACTTAATGAATAATTTTCTTCTTGGCCGTCCGCATCACCATTCCACATGTTCCAATCGACCCGCACAAATCTGAAAAATTAAAGTAAGGATGAGTATTTAAAAATACCCAGTAAGATACGTGCAGTTTCCATATACAGATATATAACAATAAAATCTACATTTCATACCACTCTGCTCTTATGAAGTATATCGGTAACCAAGTGACACACTCATCTTTGGTCCTCTTAAATTCCAGTAGGAATTTCATATCTCTTTTTCTAGAACTCGAAGGTCCACTAGCAATCCATGCATATTTAATTGCATATAAAAGCATATAGAAACAAAAACAACTTGTACATATGTATCTTATCTCATTTGAAAAGTCTGAATGCTCGTTCAAAATCTTTTCTCTGCTTTGAAAAATACGTGATTAAAATATTTGATATATGCAAACTTTATTTCCAGTACTACTCTCTCTCTCTCTTTCCTTTCTCTCTCTTTCTCTCCTCTCTCTTAGCCGTAAATATTGTGTTTATTTTTTTCAGTCGTGAATGATGAGACTTTTGACATGATACTTATACTAGAAAAGATGATGAAGTTTTGGTGAAATTGGGATGAAAGAGACGTATACCACCCAATTGATAAAGCAAAATTTTTGATAAAGCAAATCATGATGTGATAAGCCTAAATCTTTAAGTATGATTATATTATAACTATATTTAGATGAATCCTAATCATCTAAATAGAATAGGAAACATGTGAAAGTGACGGATGATGGAGTTTAAATTGTATTTAAATAAGTTATTTTTAGCCAAAGGAAATCTTTACATTTGCAGCAAGAGAATTGGAACTGTCGTGTTCCTCAAGCAAAGTGATATGATTTATTTTGTACTATCCCAACTCCCAACACTCTACAGCATAGATTGCGAGATTTTCTACTATTTTAATTCAAGTAGATAACAGCAACTAGGAGTTGACAAATATCCTTTCATCTCAATCAAAATCCAAAGGTTATCTACATGTGAAATCATGGTTGTAAAGCTAAAATCATAGACAAACTCCAATTATTTGTCAAATAAAGATAATATCTTCTAACTTAAATATCTTGAGCCTAATTTATCCGAAATAACTTTTCTTCGGCATAAAATACATGATTAATTACGAGCTACCCAATGAGTATAATATTGATGTACTTATCAATACTCTATCAAAATCTAAATATTTAACCAAATAAAATATGAATTTAGAACATGTTTCATTTCAGTCCTTAAACAAATATATTTTATTTTAAAATTTCGGGATGTTACATTTGTAGCCAAAGGTCTAATGACTAACTTGCCTTACGAACAAGCTACACACGATATTCATTAGGTAAAAGAATCTTTTTGTTCTTTAAAGGATGTTTATGTGAGTTGTTTATTATTCACAAATCATTATAGCTCCTGGATGTTCAAATATATCATGTCAAAATATAAAAAATTTTGGATTGACGAACTTCTGTCCATGACAATATTTGATTCAACAATTTTTATAAATATATGATATATGCCAGATGAGAGTGTATGAAAATTTTCTTTTATCAACTTCTGACAAGATACAATGAAGTTATGTAAAGGCATTCAACATTAATTTATTGCATCGTTTCAATGTGATATCCATTTTAGTGAATATCTTTAAAACTAAGCAAATTGTTTCGAATTTGTTAGAATAAAATATATCGTCAATATATAATTTGTATTATTTGATAAAATAATACAAGTTCTTCCGAAACTTTCAGTGATATTCGATATACTTGATATCGTATTACCATTATTTTTTGCTAATGTTAAGTTCCAAAAATATTTTTTATCTTGAAGAATGGTATGTTTAGCTGCACTATCAATCAAATGAATATCTTGACAATCCATCATAAATCTACAAATATAACAAAATAGTAATATTTAAAAACTTGAATTAAATTTAAAGGGTAAACATAATACAATACCGTGAAATTAACGATGTATAGTAAAATTTCAATTTTTTTTGGTAAAGTAAAAACATATTTCAATCTAAATTTCTAAAATAAAGGAAAATATAGAAAATAAATTATTCTATATATTTCATCACACCACTTCCAATCAAATGGTCAATATTTCAATTTGGATAAACAAAAAAAAATAAAAAAAAAAAAAAATCAGAGACATCTAAATGAGCTAAATCAATGAGACCATCATAATCAGCAAAATTTGTTTTTACTTTTTCCTTTCCGTTGATTAATTTTTGGTAAAGATCGACATAATATTTGCCATACGATAGGTACGTGCTTAATGCCTTTTAATTCCACATCTAAAGTAACATTCTTCATGTTCTTTTATATTGTGCTACTTTCGTTTGCTTTCTGGCTTTTAAAATTGTTGTCTTGTTACTGATAGCTTTGTTAATTATTTTGTTCATGGTTTATTCCGCATGCACGTTAGCGTCCACATCTACGTCCTTATCTTGATATTGCATTTGCTTCAAGCAAACAGTACCATCTGCTTCATGTAATAGTACAAAATCAGTTAGACGTAACCCATGATTTTTCATTAGCAATTCATTATTTTGTTTAACCACAAGCAGACATGATATGAGTTTTGAGTGCTTTTTGGAATCATGCTCACGATATTGCGGTTGCAGGAGCACATTCAAAGCATGAAAACTAAAAATTTCTTCAGCATATTTTCACTAGTGATTTTTTCTCCACACAATGTCAATTTTAAACAATTCAAAATTATACTCACTACTAGTTTTGAAGTCTTTCAAATGAATGTGCATCCATTCGCAGTCATTTGATGATCAAATATTTCAATTAAATTTTTTTAAAGAACATGTGAATATTTCTCAGTGAGATATTCACTTTTTAATTTATCGTGAAAATGATGATGAAGGACGATGAGATATTCACTTTTTAATTCATCGTGAAAATGATGATGAAGGACGATGAGTGCTTAAGGATTTCTTTGTTTCAATCTTTTATTGTCAATTCCAAACCTTTTGAGAGACGAAGAGTGCTACAGGATTTCTTTGTTTTATTCTTTTATTGTCAATTCCAAAACCTTTTGAGACAATATGGATTTCAGCATCGAGTACCCATAATAGATAATATTTGCTAGATATGTCGAGTGCAGCAAACTCAAGTCTTGTAATGTTTGTCATTTGATTAACTACACAATAGACAAAAGAAAATATAATTAATTTCAAAGAATATGATTAAATGTCACGTAATAGTTTATCAATTAATATCGACATGACATAAGTTACATATTTTCTTTTAGGGAAAAAATTAATCTAAAATAATGTGTTCTTTGAAACATATGCTACTTTTGGAGTGCGTTGTATTTTAATATTGCTTCTTGAATAGCAATATGCCAATATTCTTTTAGAATATTGAATATTATAATTTATGCGCTTCGGGAGTAAGTAATAATCTTCAAGGATATTAATTGTAATATTATTTTACATTAGAAGCAACAACAAATTATTTATAATAGATAGATCTAACATTAATATTCTTCTAAAATATTAATTATAATGTTGTGTTACTTTAAGAGTAACAACATGATAGAATATCAATTTAAAGTTTATAATAAAACATCTAAAGTTATTTAATCAAGTTAAAAATAGAGGCATTTTCAAGAATATCCAATTTTAAGGGTTTGAGTTGAAAAGTGTCCACTCATTTGAATTTAGTGTCAACTTGTTTATCATGCCCTTAATGAAAAAATTGAGCAATTGAATGTCGTTCTCAACATTTGATTTTATTTCAATTTTTCACGAATTTCGAGAATTATCTTTCATGAGAAGGTACATTAAAATAATGTTTCTCGACATTTCATATGTCATTCTCAACATTTCGACACCATTTCATTTGTCTAGAATGACATTTCTCTACATTTGAAACGTAATTCTCGACATTTCCGAGTCAATGAAAAATATAGCATTTATTGTGATTTGACATATATGCTTTTGAAATAAATATAGCAGGTTATGTGTCAAAATTTTATTGGTCAATTATAATTTTGCAAAAATGTTCATTTTTTTTATCTTAGTGTGGAATTATAAATTGTTAATAAGGGTATTTTGGTCTAAATTCTTCCAAAATAGACATTTTTATAATGGTGGACATTTTTGCAAATGACTAGATAAAAATGGATATCCTGTGAAATTTTCTCTTAAAAAAATATTAATTATCATACAAACCAAACGCGCATTAAGTAATCATGGATGTATATTTTACAATCATAAAAAAATTAATCATCATAAAAAAATATTAATTGCTACACAGACATGACATAAATTTATATATAAAAGATATTTACCAAATATACATTAAGAAAAAATATCCATATACAAGATGAAGGCAGAATTAGGAAAAAATTACAAATACACATGATACATAATTCCTCCGATCGAGTTAGTAAACAGAACCCGTACCTTTCACTCCCAATCAATAGCAAAGGTAGAATTAAGAGAAAATTCCAAACATGCACGTGAATCAAATACATATGCATGAGTCATTATTGGCATGATTAAAAAAAATTACAAAAACCAATACATACATGTGCTCAATTCATAAATAGTTCCAATTACTGGCGGCTAAAGATATAGATGGAAAAAATCATGTATAAAATTGCACTCAAATGGGTGGTTGAAGATTGAAAAATCATGCATTCAAGTGCATACAAGTTGGCAATCGAAGATGGAAAACCATGCATTTAATGCTTATAAAATAAAAAAAATCACATTGATAGGAGAACACAAACGGCTAACTAGATCGTATGTGTATATTTAAAAAATCACATGCAGTTAAATTAATTTCGATACATGTGATAAATGATTATGCTTCAAAAAATTATTACATTTACTAAATTTTGAAAAATTAAACTATCGTGCTGATAACGTATATGAAAAGAGAAAAAAGAGAAGAGGGAATAAAAGTATATAAATTTGTGTGTATTTTATTAAGATCCAAAATCATATATTTATAGAAAGAATCAGGAATACAATGATGATAAACTTTAGAGCTGCAGATGTACAATTATCATTCGCTAATAAATTTCCTATTTACAACATTATGTAAATTAAATTTAGAAGACATGATTTGTTGATCACATGTTTCATATTAAAAACTCGAAGAACGATAAAATTAAGATGTTTGGCAATAATTTTTTTATTCATTAAAAGTATGCTTATAACTAATATATATATATATATATATATATATATATCACTCCCAATCAATAGCAAAGGTAGAATTAAGAGAAAATTCCAAACATGCACGTGAATCAAATACATATGCATGAGTCATTATTGGCATGATTAAAAAAAATTACAAAAACCAATACATACATGTGCTCAATTCATAAATAGTTCCAATTACTGGCGGCTAAAGATATAGATGGAAAAAATCATGTATAAAATTGCACTCAAATGGGTGGTTGAAGATTGAAAAATCATGCATTCAAGTGCATACAAGTTGGCAATCGAAGATGGAAAACCATGCATTTAATGCTTATAAAATAAAAAAAATCACATTGATAGGAGAACACAAACGGCTAACTAGATCGTATGTGTATATTTAAAAAATCACATGCAGTTAAATTAATTTCGATACATGTGATAAATGATTATGCTTCAAAAAATTATTACATTTACTAAATTTTGAAAAATTAAACTACGTGCTGATAACGTATATGAAAAGAGAAAAAAGAGAAGAGGGAATAAAAGTATATAAATTTGTGTGTATTTTATTAAGATCCAAAATCATATATTTATAGAAAGAATCAGGAATACAATGATGATAAACTTTAGAGCTGCAGATGTACAATTATCATTCGCTAATAAATTTCCTATTTACAACATTATGTAAATTAAATTTAGAAGACATGATTTGTTGATCACATGTTTCATATTAAAAACTCGAAGAACGATAAAATTAAGATGTTTGGCAATAATTTTTTTATTCATTAAAAGTATGCTTATAACTAATATATATATATATATATATATATATATATGATTAAATTAATTTTAAATTTAATTTTTATTCATATATTTCATGAAATTTATGAGTATAAGTCGACTACCACAAACAATCATATTGTTTCAATATAATCTGTACAGTATTATATAATGCAATCATATTGTGTTCTTTTTTTTTTTTGTGGAAACTCCCCGATGATCCGCGAGGACATTTTTGTAATAATAATATTATTACCCACTTTATGCCTTTCCATATTTCAATCCTTAGTTATTAAGTTTCCCTCTTCAAAGTTTCCTTTTATTTTCGGCGTAATCGAGAAATTATAATTACTATAAAAGTACTAAAAACCCCTGAAAATAATACTAATTCCACCCTCCAAACAAACTCTCTCTCGCTCTCTCTCTCTCTCTCTATCTCGATCTCGATCTCGATCTCGATCATATCATATCAAGGTAATTATCACGTACTAGTTTCTGTTTGATTATTGGCCGTCCGATCTGAGATAAATCCAGATCTGAGACTTGGATATCGAGATTCCGAATTCACGCGCTAGATCTAGGTCTCTGGGAGAGAAGGTATGGTGGTCAACGGGCGAACACCGATGAAAAGGGTGGTCAAGAGGCGAGTCACGGCTGACCTCAAAGACTTCCTCACGTTCCCCACCGCCGGTGATGCTGACGATATTCCGGTGGCCGCCGGACCGTTCAGGACGTGTGTGAGGGATTTTCTGTCCGAGCACGCGCTCCTCCCTCCCCCTTCTTCGCTCTTTCCACACCTGCTCACGTGGCAGGTCCTCTTCCGCGTAGGCGACCTTGTCGGCGACGACGGTGGTCCTGCTGTCGTTTGCCTTGACGTCGTGGAAGAGAATGTCTCGAGATCCAGATCTGTTTATTGCGACCCGTGCCGAGTCGTTGGTGAGTTATCCACACCGAGTCAGTAACGTGTCAAACTCTAAACTCATCTTCTTTCTGTATCAGTGTTTTTCAGAATGGAGAAATTTCAAATTGGAAAAAAAAAAAACATACATCTCATTGGTTTTAGGCTTTTACCTCCTGTAATATAATCCTTACCGAATTTCCTCTAGAAAAAATATTTGCAAATAAATAAACTCTTATTAATAAAGCAGAGCAGAGGTAAATCATGATGCAGTTGATGGATGAGATGAATGGACCCCAAAAATAAAGTAAATAAGAAAAGATAAAGAAAAAAGGAAGGGGGGGGGGTCCGAGACAAGGGTTCGATACATAATACGACAGATGCCACCTGCTTGCAGCGTTGGGCCACTTGTCTCTTTATCTTTATTAGTAGCTGTTTTCTTGTTTACTTCCTTAAAACTGCCCTAGTATAGTTTTGACTATTGAGTTTTATGGATGTTTTAAAGTAATGCTACTTAGCACTAGCCTGTATAGTTTCTCCCATTTTTTGCATTTTAATTTTATAAAACGTGACAAATTGTAGTGATTATTTCTTGTAGCTGTAGAATTCCAGGGATGTTCCTTGAATAACTTCAGCTGATACTTAATTTGAATATTAATTGAGGGGTTTGTAGGATGGAGCAGTAATCCAGTAAGTGCGAAGCGCTACCATTTCATAATAAAGTCTGATGGCAATTCCATTGCTGGCTATAATAAGATGTGTGCAGGATGTGGTGATATCCTTCATATGATGGAGTCGAGGTGAGGACAACATTTCTAGTTATGTTTGGTTCTTTATTCTGCCCTTTTTGGATCTCATACACACTTTGGTTGTCAAACCTGGATTATCAGTTAGAACATGGAACAGTTGGTACTACTCTCACATTTATTATTCAGTCCCATTGTACAATGCTTGAAAATTAGCAATCATTAGGATGATTGCTCCAAGGGCAGTATTCATATGTTGCTGGTGGTTTCAGTAATAACATTATACTTAAGTTTTATAGTTCCGCTGACCACATTGAATGCATGTTTGATGCGTCAACTAAACATTGTTGGAACAACTTACAAAACAAAGACACGTGGCCAAACTTGTTTACCATCATATTATATTCTTTCTAGTCTAGTTTACAAGACATACGATGATTGCATTAACTGGTTCGACCAATGTTCTGAAACTGGATCGGATTGGTCTGTTCAACCGGAAAAGCTGGGTAATGGATCTAAATTGAGGTCGGTCTTAGGTTTAAACCACAAATTCAAAACCCAGTTCAACTGACCAGTTAACTGTGAACTGGTCAGATCTTTCCCAGTTTAGATGGTTTACTGTTGAAAGGAACCCTCGATTGAAGAGGTTTTCTATCACTACACTTTTGCTGTTCAGAATGGGCCCCTCTTTTATAGACCAAAATTTTCTTGCCTGATTGGCGATTGCTAGAATGTCGATGTGGGATTAAAATCATTGGGTAAAGCCACTACAAATATGTAAATCTCTTAATTATTTCTTTATTCCCCCCCCCCCCCCCCTCCCC